GCCGGAGAAAATTCGACGCGCAGGTTAAATAATTACAAATTATGATATAGATGCATGTACATGAGACTGTCAAAAAAAAATTTTTTTTTTTAATCAGGCACTTAGCTCAAAAGCTTCCATCTTATACCAAAAGAACACCCTTAAATTTTTATCAAATAATATTAAGATTTGGAGGTTGCTAGTAAACGATTTTTTAATCAAAGTTCCGATTTTCCTTAATAAACACATTTAATTTGATGCAAAAATGGCTTAAACCAGATTTTAAAAGGATACCGTATGTTTTTTTGGTCGCTGAACACGATGCAATAATTTATTTAACTCTATGATATATGCTTTAAGAAATACAGTCCAATTAATGTGAAAAGATTACCAAATTTCGAATTCAAGGTTGATTTTAATAAGATTTCAAGTGTGTAAATAGGTTGCTACTCTTCTCAAACTGTAGGTCTGCTCACTCAGAACAGGATCCGTTGGAATCTGTTACAGGGCCTTTAAAAGTTGCATTTAACTAAAAAAAATAAAATAGTCTAAATTATAAAATAGTTTTATGACTAAAAAAATTTTTTTTACAAGTTCTAAAGTATAATTGATTTTTTTTAATGGAAATAAGCTACATATAGCACATATTATATAATTTGTTTCAGTTAATTAAATCATATTTTTTTGTCTTATATACACAGAAAAAAATGAATTCCTAATTCATATATATTTTTATTCTTGAATACTATTTACTTTCATTTAAGTATAAAATGTTCTCTTCAATTATAAATGTTCACTGACATCAATAATAAATAGATACATGCATAAATAGATATATAGATTTGTGCAAAGTATGCTTTATTCTTAAAATTGTATTCTATCTCTAAATGTGATTCAATCTTTAAGAGCGGATAACATATTCAGCTCGTTCTAATGTTTCTGTCAATTATATTGCAAATGGGAATGCGCGAAGAGCCGGCCGACTTTGTCACTGCGACTTGACGAACAGGCGCCTATACACGCGGGCGAATTTTTCCGCGGCGGGTTTGCGGATCTGCTATCCAAAGTTAAATGGGTGAGATGAGCAATGAATCCGTCGCGACGGATCCGCCTGTATATGTAGCCAGCGTTGTATATGTAGTCTACCATTATGACGAGGTTGACCGTCTGTTTGCATCCTTATTTGCAATACGGCTAACGGAGATTGGTCTCAGCATTTCACTTGCCTTTGAGCTACGTTAGTAGAAGATATAATTCAAGTTTGATTCAATTTTTCCTTGGGAGCTTGTACGGCATGCATTAAGAGGCATACTCTATAAATGTGATACTTCATTCACAAAGCTATCGTCACTTATTGCAGCAATGAGATCTGTCACCTTGATGTTATTAAAAAGCATACTGAGGGTTTGAAATAAATTGACAAAAGATATCATTAAAGAAAACATAATTCTAATCTAAGCATATTTAATGTGGAACAAGTGCAACTTTTTCCTTTTATTGAAATAAAATTTATTTCGAACTAAGAATAAAATTTATTTTATTTCACGAATAATTTATTGTTAATCGGAAATTGTTTATTCTTGACGTTATTCTAAGCATAAAATATTCTTGGATTAGCATTTAAGAATTCATTTTTTTCTATATACTCATTTCCAGTTAAAATTTTAACTGTAAAGTTAATTATTTGAATTGAAATTTATGGTACATAATAAAAAAATTAGAGAATTATGTGTGTTTATCAGATCTATATTATGTACAAATCTTTATTACTTAGTTTTTATCTCTTATTCATAATGATTTGTAATACCCATTCTCTAAACATTTTAATTAACAACAATTAAAATAAAATTTAACTTTTTATAATAAAATTTAAATATAAAATATAACCTTAATCACATTAAAGTGTAAAACGTCAATAGAATGAAATTTTATTTAAACGTTGAAATTTAATTGTTGGGATAATTGATCTAATTTATTATATACCGAAAAAATATATTTTGAATAAAATATTTATTATAAGCAAGAAACTGTAAATGAAATAGTAATGCGGAGATTAAAGTTAAGAAATATATTTATGATTTATTTTAAAAAAACTGATTTTTATTAATTATTTTATTTATCATAGACCAAAAGTAACATTCAAAATAATTTTATTTTTAATACACGAAAACGGAAATAGTGTACATATTTGGCAGTCGGGTATGGATTAATGTATTTAATATAATAATCTACGTCTGTGTTCGCGTTATATTATAAAAACATATAGACATATCCGCCTTTTGATTATTAAGATGTTTGCATATTACATTTTGCCTAATTTTGCTCTATTTTTGTCCTATATTTTGTTATACTCGCATTTATTAATAAGAAATAACATTTATTAACATTTATTATAATATTTATAGTGTTATATATTATTAAAATAAGTCCAATGCTAAACAAATCAGTTTTTACATCAATATTTAATTTAAATATTTAATTTAAATTTAAATATTTAATTTTTACGTACATTGATATTTTATAGTAATTGAATAATATTCTTACAGATTATAAAAACTTCAGGGTCCTATATATCCGTCCTACTTGCGATGTGTTGAAGCTATATTATATTTACATTCAATTTCTAACTAGCATTTATTGTTAATAGGTATTATTTAATTATTAAAGAATTTGCACATAAATTAATATTAACAAAACCGTTGAAGTATTACTTACTATTTCCTTTTATCTGTTACACTTGCACGCGTATATTACGCGCATTAATAGAGAATAAGAATATATAAATTCAGACTCAAGTATAGATCGATAAGCCAAGATGCGCAATGCTTATTAAATGAAATCGAACAATATACAATCCTATGCTGCTTCTCTCTTACTCTCTGTATAATATTGTTCTTATTGTATGATTTCCATTTTTTTTTTACTATTGAGTGATACTTCATTTTAATATTGTGTATATGCAGCACGTTTTCATGTCTCATCATTTGTCCTATCATGAAACAAAGAAAGAAAAAAAGAGAAGGAATAAATAAAGTTAAAAAGATCTTAAACATTCTGGTTCTTTATACAATTATGTAATAGTAGATCTACAGTTATAATTGAGTAAATATCTATAAATAAAAAAATAATTATTGGCTTTATCTAACCTTTTTTTCCCAAAAATTTGCAATTCCATTCTTCAATACAACAAAGTCATTAAAAATGTGTTTACTATAAAAAGTATGTACATTCTGTGATCATGTCTTATAACTTATAGTACACCATATAGGGGTGCATTGGAGAAATGAAAAGTTATCTCAATTCGAATATACTACAATAGTTACATTTATGTGTATCATGTGTTGGCAATTCTTCTACTATTCTTTAATAGCATAAAATTATAATATACGTAAGAAAAAAATTAGTAATAACAATATTAAAACAATTACTGTTTATTATGGTATTATAAATAATATTCCGTTTATTTTAAATATAATTAAATCACTTAATTTTTCTTTTACGCTCAAAATGTCGATAACAATAATTACTTATCCAGTGCTACTTTGCATAAAAATATTTGCTTACATTTTTGTAACGTTAACACAATATTATGATATCAAAACAATCTTTTATTAAGATAATTTTTTTAAAGATTGACATAAGCTCTTTGCATTTTACGATACTGTTTATAGCTTCTAAGTACTATGCTTTGTCAAAAACGCCGTTATTACTGAAATAGAAAACTTCACTCAGCACTTTGTTCTCCATCTACTGCTTCTGATTTAGTTATTCACGATCATTGTACGCAACCTGTATCTGACATGCACCAGAACTTCTTCCAAAATTATGCGATTTACATATTTCAGGAGAATGAATTGTAAACGCGTGCACTCTAGCCGCACTTACATAATGCGCGAGGAAGAATATCTTTCAATATAGAGGAAATAAATTCTTAGAAAAGAAAAGCTTTCTCTTTCTTCACCCTCTTTCTCGAAAAAGTCTCCCTTATTCACGGATATACAAAACTTTTCTTACAATCACCGAGCACAGTTTAACGTCCTGTGAATGTCGCGTGTTGCCATCTGTTGTTGCTTGAATTTTTAAAGAAAATAATGCATTATGAGTTACACCGTCGTTTCGTCCAAGAATTTGAGAGGGAGAACATCGGCCATCCAGAAATTTATTTTTTTTTATCGACAATATACACGCAATCTGTACACGTTGCGATCAAAATACGTAGTAAGTAGTGATTCGTAAGAGAATGCTTTCCATTCTCGTTCTCTTTCAAGCTCTCAGTTTGTACAAAGATATTGCATTATAAACATATGATCGATCAAGTGTTCTCTGTAACTGTGTCTTTTTTAAATTCTTTTGTCGGATTTGATACATATTAACAGTGCAAAATAATAAGAAAGCAATAATAATAGAAATATGAAAGCAAAGAATACTATTAGCCCTGCAGCAACCGAAATTTTGTTTCGTATCTTTGGCATTTGGCCGAACACGTCGTTCGTTTTGTTACGTAGACTATTCTGGATTATTTCGATCGTATTCGAGCAAATTGGTCAATATCGATACATTGTAAAACATTTTCATTTGATGGAGCTTTTTGAGATAATAATAATTTTAAGTTCAGCAGTGGCGATGACGAGATTTTTTATTGTACTCGTCGTTTTTTGGTGTAAACAGCGGTGAGATATGCAGTGGTGAGACACATAGTATAAGTAGTATCAGTGAAAAATTTATTTTAAATATTATTTAATTTATTTAAATTAAATTAATTAAATAAATTTAGCATTACGTCTTATTTCAACAATTACCACTTTAGATAGTAAAGTGATTTATTCGGCAATTGTAAACGTTAACAAAACTAAAAACAATTACTGTATTAAACAAATTATTATATGCAAAAATAACAGATAAATGGACACACATCTCGAAAATTATTTTATAATGACAAATTTTTCATCGATGATTTGCATAATGCTTCATTGTGGCTGTTATCATGATTATAATCAACAAAACTATTTGTAGAACATTCAGTAAGATATTAACGATGATGGCGATTGACTGGGAAAAGTCTAGCACAAAATTCAGTATTTTCGCGACATACAATGCTAAACTGTCGGAGCGCTTAGTTAACATGACGGTGTTTCTTTATTTGATAGCTGCAATTCTTACTGGCACCAAGATCTTTGTAAAACACATGGATAGCGGCAATGCTTCCAATGTTTCCACACGATTGCTCATTGTAGAGATGGATCTGCCATTTGATACTAACCAAAGATTCGTATATGAATCTGTCTTAATTATCCAATTTTTTCATTTATTGCTGTGTTCCAACGTTATGGGTGTATTTAATGCTTTACTCATAAATCTGGTAAGTTCTATTATGTGAGTAGATATAGTTTCTATGTATTATTTTTATTATTTATAATATCAATTTTTTGATATTTTGATGATCTGTGATCATTTAATATCAATTTATGGATGAAATGTTTGATTATTGTCTATATTATAAAAAGTAATGTATATGCCATTCTGTCATAAGCGGCTTTTTAAATTTTAAAATATTTTGTGTGGCATTAATTAAATTTATGTATTAAAATATTTTTTCTCAACATCTATTAGCACAGTAATTCAGAAGAACGTATACATTTTAGATATTGCATATAGGCGGTCAAATCGATATACTGCGTGAGAGTTTGATAGGTATTATTCCGAAGAAAGAGAGGGACAGCTCGAATCATTTTACGATTAAAGAAATAATAAAAAAACACCAGAAAATCATTACTTTCTCGGAGCATATCGAGCATCTGTATTCGTATATCACGATGGTGCTGTTTGTATCGGATATTCTGATTATCTGCTGCTTAGGTTCTACAATTGTCGCAGTAATTATAATTTTATTTAAATCTACGATGAAGAGCAACATACATTATAAGAACCGCTGAATTTGTAGAATAAAGGAGAACTATTTTGTGCTTTTAATTATTCAGCATTTTGTTACCTTTCCGTTGCTCTTACAATGTTTCTTAATATTCCAGTCAATAGGTCGACCTGACGTTTTGAAAAATATAATTAGGGTCCTCTTATTTTACTTCGTCATGAATATGGAAGCATTCGTATTTTGCTTTGCTGGAGAATACTTGAGCGCTAAGGTTAGACATCAGAACGATTATATTATTCATGATATTATTACATAATTGTTTGTATATATATATATATATATACACACACATATACAGACATTACATATATAGAATCTCATTTTAATTATTTCAAACAAATATTTTGGAAAATACGTAAAGTAAAAAATGTTTCAGGTGAATGTGGAACTGTTTTTAAGGGGACAAATTTTGTTTATGTTGTTTTTTTATAGGTGGGTAGGTCAAAAAAATATAAAAACCACCCCCACTTTTTAAGTGATTTCTCTACAAAATATTATTTTTTAATTATTTTGTTCATGGAAGTATTAATTTACAGTTATTAAAAAGTAGTATATAAAACATTTAATATTTTATGTTAATGTATGCTAGAATATGATAAAATATCTTTTAAACTAATTTTTTGGTATAAATATATATATATATATATATATATATTTTTACATTATAATATTATATACAGAATAATTAGAGGAATTGTATTATTAAATACAAAAACATGTAATTCCATTTAAAAAAGTAGAGTAATCTTTATATCTTTTTAATGTCTTTATGAAAAAACATAAACGTGACGATAATAAACATCTCCTACGAAACCGTTTTATTTTCATCTGAAATATATTTTCTCATATATTTTTCAAAATATTTGCCAATTAACAATCTGTACATGTATAAATGTTACAAGAGTAATTATTTAATAGAGTAAAAGCATCGGAGATGCTGCCTACGCTTCCCTCTGGTACGAATCAGATTCTAGAACAAATCAAATTATATTGTTTTTGATAATGAGATCGCAAAATCAGTTAACAATTACAGTTGGAAAGATAATGAATTTGTCCTTGGAACGATTTACTAGTGTAAGTCTATTTCATATTTACTTTATACGTACAGCCTTTTAGCATAGGTTTTGCACAAATGTTTATTTTGTCCATATTTATCTATAAATATAAAGTGCTTGCTCTTTTTAAAATAAAGTAAAATAATATTATCAATTACAATAATAAATGATATTTTTAAGACGGTAATGAAATTAAATATTAACAATAAGTAAGCATATTTAAATCTATAATGGTCGAAGCTAGATTTTTCTAAATACAAAAAAAAATGATTTAATTAATTAAATCATTTTTTTTTATTATGTACTCATTTTCAGTTAGAATTTTAACTGTGATGTTAATTATCTAACAAATTTATGGTACATTATGGAGAAATTAGAGATGTGTGATACATTACTTTAAATACGAAGCGTCATTAATTATATAATTGTAATTTTTGAAATTAATTCATTTAAATGAATATGTATAATAGTTCATTATCTTAACATTCAGACCGTAGTGGCGCTTCGTATTTAAAGTAATGTATCTAATATAAACGGTCTTATTTCCAATCTTGTAGAGAGTTATGTGTGTTTATCAGATCTATATTATGTGTACAAATCTTTATTACTTAGTTTTTATCTCTTATTCATAATTATTTGATAATACCCATTCTCCAAACGTTTTAATTAACAACTATTAAAATAAAATTTAAACAAAATATAACCTTAATCACATTAAAGTGTACAAAACGTCAATAGAAGCAAATTTTATTTGAGCGTTGAGATTTAATTCTTGAGATAATTGGCCTAATTCATTACATACCGGTGAAATATTTCAAATAAAATATAACTAAGAAACCGTAATTGAAATAGTAATGCCAAGATTAAAATTAGGAAATATTCTTATGACCTATTTTAAAAAACCATCTGATTTTTATTAATTATTTTACTACGTAGACCAAAAGCAACATTCAAAATAATTTTACTTTTTACGGAAATAGCATACATATTTGGCAATCGGGTACGGATTAATGTATTTATATGGTAATCCCCGTCTGTGTCGGCGCCGTCTTACACAACATATATAGACATATCCGACTTTCAGTTATTAAGATGTTTGCATGTTGCATTGTTTCGACTAATCTCGTTCTATTTTTGTCCGATATTTTTTTACACCTATATTGATTAATAAGAAAAAAATAACATTTATTAACATTACATCTTTATATATATTTATTAAAATAAGTCAAATGCTAAACAAATCGGTTTTTACATTAAGATTTAATTTAAATATTTAATTTTTACTTACATTGATATTTTATAATAATAATGTTTTTACAGATTATAAAAACTTCAGGGTCCTATATATCCGTCCTACTTGCGATGTGTTGAAGCTATATTATATTTACATTCAATTTCTAACTAGCATTAGCAGTTATTGTTAACAGGTATTGTTTAATTATTAGAAAATTTGCACATAAATTAATATTAACAAAAACCGTAGAAGTATTACTTACCATTTCATTTTATCTGTTACACTTGCACGCGTATATTACACCCATTAGAGAATAAGAATATATAAATTCAAACTGTCAAGTATAGATCGATAAGCCAAGATACACAATGCTTATTAAAAGAAATCGAACAATATACAATCCTGTGCTGCTTCCCTTTTTCTCATGTATAATATTAATCCTATTTTATGATTTCCGTTTTTTGAGTGATACTTCATTTTAATACTGTGTACATGCAGCACGTTTTGCATTCATGTCTCACCATTTGTTGTTGTCATCTTATCCTATCATGAAATAAAGAAAGAAGAAAAGAAAAGGAATAAATAAAGTTAAAAATACCTTAAACTTTCTTTATACAATTATGTAATCGTAGATCTACAGTTATAATTGAGTAAACATCTATAAATAAAAAAATAATTATTGGCTTTATCTAACCTTTTTTTCCCAAAAATTTGCAATTCCATTCTTCAATACAACAAAGTCATTAAAAATGTGTTTACTATAAAAAGTATGTACATTCTGTGATCATGTCTTATAACTTATAGTACACCATATAGGGGTGCATTGGAGAAATGAAAAGTTATCTCAATTCGAATATACTACAATAGTTACATTTATGTGTATCATGTGTTGGCAATTCTTCTACTATTCTTTAATAGCATAAAATTATAATATACGTAAGAAAAAAATTAGTAATAACAATATTAAAACAATTACTGTTTATTATGGTATTATAAATAATATTCCGTTTATTTTAAATATAATTAAATCACTTAATTTTTCTTTTACGCTCAAAATGTCGATAACAATAATTACTTATCCAGTGCTACTTTGCATAAAGATATTTGCTTATATTTTTGTAACGTTAACACAATATTATGATATCAAAACAATCTTTTATTAAGATAATTTTTTTAAAGATTGACATAAGCTCTTTGCATTTTACGATACTGTTTATAGCTTCTAAGTACTATGCTTTGTCAAAAACGCCGTTATTACTGAAATAGAAAACTTCACTCAGCACTTTGTTCTCCATCTACTGCTTCTGATTTAGTTATTCACGATCATTGTACGCAACCTGTATCTGACATGCACCAGAACTTCTTCCAAAATTATGCGATTTACATATTTCAGGAGAATGAATTGTAAACGCGTGCACTCTAGCCGCACTTACATAATGCGCGAGGAAGAATATCTTTCAATATAGAGGAAATAAATTCTTAGAAAAGAAAAGCTTTCTCTTTCTTCACCCTCTTTCTCGAAAAAGTCTCCCTTATTCACGGATATACAAAACTTTTCTTACAATCACCGAGCACAGTTTAACGTCCTGTGAATGTCGCGTGTTGCCATCTGTTGTTGCTTGAATTTTTAAAGAAAATAATGCATTACGAGTTACACCGCTGTTTTGTCCAAGAATTTGAGAGGGAGAACGACCATCCGGAAATTTATTTTTTTTTACCGACAATATACACGCAATCTGTACACATTGCGATTAAAATATTTAATAAACTATGTGGAAGGGCGCCTCCACTCTCGTTCTCTTTCAAGCTCTTAGTTTGTACAAAGACATTACATCGTGCACATCACACGATCGATCAAGTGTTTTTCGTAACATCCCTGTTTTTTTTTATGATAATAATAATTTTAAGTTTAGCAGTGGCGATGACAAGATTTTTTATTGTACTCGTCCTTTTTTGGTGTAAACAGCGGTGAGATACGCAGTGGTGAGACATAGTATAAGTACAGTGAAAAATTTATTTTAAATATTATTTAATTTATAAATTAAATTCATTAAATAAATTTAGCATTACATCTTATTTCAACAATTACCACTTTAGATAGTAAAGTGATTTATTCGGCAATTGCAAACGTTAACAAAACTAAAAACAATTGCTGTATTAAACAAATTATTATATGCAAAAATAAAAGATAAATGGACACACATCTCGAAAATTATTGTATAAATTTTTCATCGATGATTTGCATAATGCTTCATTGTGACTGTTATCATGATTATAATCAACGAAACTATTTGTAGAACATTCAGTAAGATATTAACGATGATGGCGATTGATTGGGAAAAATGTTCTAGCACAAAATTCAGTATATTCGCGACATACAATGCTAAACTGTCGGAGCGCTTCGTTAACATGACGGTGATTCTTTATTCGATAGCTGCAATTCTTACTGGCACCAAGATCTTTATAAAACACATGGATAGCGGCAATGCTTCCAATGTTTCCACACGATTGCTCATTGTAGAGATGGATCTGCCATTTGATACTAACCAAAGATTCGTATATGAATCTGTCATAATTATCCAATTTTTTCATTTATTCCTGTGTTCCAACGTTATGGGTGTATTTAATGCTTTACTCATAAATCTGGTAAGTTCTATTATGTAAGTAAATATTGTTTCTATGTATTATTTTTATTATAATATAAATTTCTTGATATTTTAATAATCTGTGATCAATTATCAATCTGTATCAATTTATTTATGAAATGATCAATTATCAATCTGTATCAATTTATTGATCAAATGTTTGATTATTATCTATATTATAAAAAGTAATGTATATGCCATTCTGTCATTAGCAGCTTTTTAAATTTTAAAATATTTTGTACGGCATTAATTAAATTTATGCATTAAAATATATTTTCTCAACATCCATTAGCACAGTAGTTCAGAAGAACGTATATATTTTAGATATTGCATATAGGCGGTCAAATCGATATTCTGCGTGAGAGTTTGATAGGAATTATTCCGAAGAAAGACAGGGATAGCTCGAATCATTTTACGATTAAAGAAATAATAAAAAAACATCAGAAAATCATTACCTTCTCGGAGCATATCGAGCATCTGTATTCGTATATCGCGATGGTGCTGTTTGTATCGGATATTCTGATTATCTGCTGCTTAGGTTCTACAATTGTCGCGGTAAGTATTACAATTTTGTTTAAACATCTACTATGAAGATCAATATATATTATAAGAACCGCTGAATTTGTAGAATATAGGAGAACTATTTTGTGCTTTTAATTATTCAGCATTTTGTTACCTTTCCGTTGCTCTTACAATGTTTCTTAATATTCCAGTCAATAGGTCGACCTGACGTTTTGAAAAATATAATTAGGGTCGTCTTATTTTACTTCGTCATGAATATGGAAGCATTCGTATTTTGCTTTGCTGGAGAATACTTGAGCGCTAAGGTTAGGCATCAGAATGATTATATTATTCACAACATTATTACATAATTGTTTGTATATATATATATATACATACACACACACATACACACATATTACATATATAGAATCTCATTTTAATTATCTCAAACAAATATTTTGGAAAATACATAAGATAATAAATGTTTCAGGTGAAAGTGGAACTTTCGAGAGAAAGAAATTGTTTTCATGTTAATCTAGAATAAAATATAGGTATAAAATATCTTATAAACTAATTTTTTGATGTATATTTACATTATGATATTATATACAGAATAATTATGGAATTGTATTATTAAATACAAAATCATATAATTCCATTTAGAAAAGTAGAGTAATCTTTATATCTTTATAATCTTTATATCTTTATAATGCCTTTATGAAAATACACAAACGTGATGAAAATAAACATCTACGAAACCATTTTATTTTCATCTGAAATATATTTTCTCATGTTACGTATTTTTCAAAATATTTGCTAATTAACAATCTGTACATATATAAATGTTACAAGAATAATTATTTAATAGAGTAAAAGCATCGGAGATGCTGCCTACTCTTCTCTCTGGTACGAATCAGATTCTAGAACTAATCAAATTATATTGTTTTTGATAATGAGATCGCAAAATCAGTTAACAATTACAGTTGGAAAGATAATGAATTTGTCCTTGGAACGATTTACTAGTGTAAGTCTATTTCATATTTACTTTATACGTACAGCCTTTTAGCACAGGTTTTGCACAAATGGTTATTTTGTCCATAATTATTTATAAATATAAAGTGCTTGCTCTTTTTAAAATAAAATAAAATAATATTATCAATTACAATAATAAATAATATTGTTATGACCGTAATGAAATTAAATATTAACAATAAGTAAGCATATTTAAACCTATAATGGTCGAAGCTAGATTTTTCAATGCCTAAATAATTCAAAGTGAATTATATATATATACTATATATGTACATGCATATACACCATATTTTGTAGTTATTCAAAATGTGCGTCAAATTTTTTTCGGACGTACAAACGTAATTAAACGTAAGACCTCGAGTTCAAGGTCGATTTTAGTAAAGTTCCAAGTGTTCAAATGGATTGCTACTCCTCTCAAATTGTAGGTCCGGTTCACCCAGAACAAGATCCAGTTAGTTTTGCCGGAATCTCTTACAAGGCACGGAATCTCCTTTAAAAGTTGCATTTAATTGAATTATAAAACATTTTTGTAACTAGAAAATTTTTTTTACAAGTTCTAAAGTATATCTCTTTGTGGTTTTGTCATTTTCAAATCAAATGCCTCAATTTGGCAATAAAAAATTTTTTATCATAAAATTAAATGAGTAATTAACACAAAAAATATTTAATTAATTGAAATTAGCTACTTAATTATATAGTTTATTTTAATTAATTAAATCAATTTTTTTTGTACTCATTGTATTATGTACTCATTTCCAGTTAGAATTTTAACTGTGAATTTAATTATCTAACAAATTTATGGTACATTATAAGAAATTAGAAAGTTATGTGATGCATTACTTTAAATACGAAGCGTCATTACGGTTTGAATGTCAAGATGTTGAACTATTATATATATTTATTTAAATAAATTAATTTCAAATAATTGCGTGCCGATATGATTGTCGGATTTTCAATGCAATCACTCTCTATACATATCGGTTATTGCGAGGAATATTGGTAAAGTCTCGGTAGTCTAAAGGCTTAGGACATTCGTACGGAATGCAAGAGAGATGTGAGTTCGCCTCCCGGCCGAGGCAATAATTTTCGCAATAAGTTTATTACAGTTTTTTAAGATAAAATTTGGAAAATTTGGGGGGATAATTAATATTTCAGATTGATTGCATTAAAGGTCCGACAACCATATCGACACGCAATTGTAATTTTTGGAATTAATTCATTTAAATGAATATGTATAATAGTTCTACATCTTAACATTCAGACCGTAGTGGCGCTTCGTATTTAAAGTAATGTTTCTAACATAAACGGTCTTATTTTCAATCTTATAGAAAGTTATGTGTGTTTATCAGATTAATATTAAGTGTATTAATCATGTCTTTATTACAGTTTTTATCTCTTATTGTAATTATTTGATAATACCCATTCTCTAAACATTTTAATTAACAACAATTAAAATAAAATTTAAGCAAAATATAACCTTAATAAAGTGTACCTATCATATTAAATTGTACCTATCATATTAAAGTGTACAAAATGTCAATAGAAGCAAATTTTATTTGAGCGTTGAGATTTAATTCTTAGGATAATTGGCCTAATTCATTACATACCGGTGAAATATTTCAAATAAAATATTTTTTATAACCAAAAAACCGTAATTGAAATAGTAATGCCAAGATTAAAATTAAGAAATATATTTATGACCTATTTTAAAAAACCATCTGATTTTTATTAATTATTTTATTTACCCCGCAGACCAAAAGCAACATTCAAAATAATTTTACTTTTAATACGGAAATAGCGTAGACATATTTGGCAGTCGGGTACGGATTAATGTATTTGTATAGTAATCTCCGTCTGTGTCGGCGCCGTTTTACACAAGATATAGAAATATTCGCCTTTCGGTTATTAAGATGTTTGCATGTTACATTGTTTCGACTAATCTCGTTCTATTTTTGTCCTATATTTTTTTACACCTATATTGATTAATAAGAAAAAAATAACATTTATTAATATTATATCTTTATTTATTATTAAAATAAGTCAAATACTAAACAAATCGGTTTTTACATTAAGATTCAATTTAAATATTTAATTTAAATTTAAATATTTAATTTTTACTTACATTGATATTTTATAGTAATAATGTTTTTACAGATTATAAAAACTTCAGGGTCCTATATATCCATCCTACTTGCGATGTGTTGAAGCTATATTATATTTACATTCAATTTCTAACTAGCATTAGCAGTTATTGTTAATAGGTATTGTTTAATTATTAGAAAATTTGCACATAAATTAATATTAACAAAAACCGTAGAAGTATTACTTACCATTTTCTTTTATCTGTTCTTTTATTTGCACGCATATATACATTAGTATAGAAAGAATAAGAAATTCAGACTGTCAAGTATAGATCGATAATCCAAAATACGCAATGTTTATTAAATGAGATCGAACTATACAATCCTGCTTTCCTCTTTCACACATAATATTATTCCTACTTTATGATTTTCGACAATATTCTTTTTATTTTCGAGCGGTACTTTATTTAAATATTGTGTACTTGCTTCACGTACAGCGTTATGCATTTTTAAGTCTCACAATTTGTTGTTGTCATATTATCCTGTCATGAAATAAAGAGAGAAGAAGAAAAAAAGACAAAAGAGATAAAAAATACCTTACTTTCTGTTTCTTTTTACAATCTTCGTAATCGTAGAACTACAGTCATAATCGAGTAACTGAAGATTTCTAAAATAAAAAATAATTATTGGTTTTATCTAATCTTTTTTCTTAAAAATTTGCAATTTTGCTGTTCTTCAGTACAGTCATTGAAAATGTGCAATACTTACTTTGAAATGAAAAGTGTGTACATTCTGTGATAATGACTTACACTCACTGCTATACGGTTAAAGAAAAAATTTTTTTGGCTTGAATGTCATTTCTTTGAAAATAATTTTTTTAAATTAAATGAATTTTTTTATTTGATTTGAAAAAGTAATGTTTAAATCAAAGAAATAACGTACAAATCATAATAATTTTTTCTTTACCCGTGTATAAAGAAACATTTTTTCAAATCGAAGAAACCTATCTCTAGGTTTATAGTACAACACTATAGTACAGGAGTGTATTGGAGAAACGAAAAGTTAACTTAACTTGAATATACTTCAATAGCTACGTTTGTGTTTATCATGCGTTCGCAATTCTTCTATTTTCCACTAATAAAATTATAACATGTGTAAGAAAAAAAATCAGCAATAACGATATTAAAAAAATTATTGTTGATATTTATTATGGTATTACAAATAATATTCCATTTGCTTTAAATGTAATTCAATTAATTTTTCTTTCACGCTCAAAATATGGATAATAATAAAGGGTGTTTTTTTAAGCCCGATAGAACTTGAAATTGTAAAAAATAAAACAAAAAATTAAATTAAACAGCCGCGGTGGCCACATGCCCGAAATCATTTTCAAATGTTAATGCCATGCATTGATCTTTCGACTAAAAAAAATTTTTTGATTATAATTTAATTTTTGTGTTAGTTTTTACAATTTTAAGTTCTATCGGGCTTAAAAAAACACCCTTTATTACATAACTGCAATGCTCTTCCTGCATAAACAGATATTACTTTACATTTTTGTAACGTTGAAACAATATTATAACATAAAAATAATCAAAACAATCTTTTATCGAAGATTAACATAAGTTCTTTGCATTTTACGATACTATTTATAGTTTATAAGTATTATGCTTTATCAAGAACGCCGTTACTACTGAAATATAAAACTTCACTCAGCACTTCGTTCTCCATCTCCTGCTTCTGATTTACTTATTCACGATCATTGCGCGCAACCTGTATTTGATGTACACAGAGCTTCTCCCAAAATTGTGCGATTTACATATTTCAGGAGAATGAATTGCGAACACGTGCACACTAACCGCACTTACATAATGCGCGAGGAATATCTTTCGATATAGAGGAAATAAAATCTCGGAAAAAGAAAAGCTTTCGCTTTCTCTACCATCTCTCTTCCTAGGAAAAGTCTCCCCTATTCATGGATGTACAAAACTTTTCTCACTGTTACTGAACACAGTATATAATGTCCTGTGAACGTTCGCGTGTTGCTATCTGTTGTTGCTTGAATTTTTAAAGAAAATTATGCATTGCGAACTACATCACCGTTTTGCCTAAGAATTTGAGAGAGAGAAGGTCGGCTATCCGGAAATTTCTTTTTTTTACCGACAATATACACGCAATCTGTACACGTTGCGATCAAAATATTTAATAAGTCGGGGTTCGTAGGAGAATGCCCTCTACTCTCGTTCTCTTTTAAGCTCTCAGTTTGTTCAAAGACATTACATCGTGCACATCGTACGATCGATCAAGTGTTTTTCGTAACACTCCTGTTTTTTTTATTCTCTTATCGGATTTGATGCATTAACAGTGCAAAATAATAAAAAAGTAATAATAATATAAATATGAAAGTAAAGAATACTGTTAGTCCAGTTATAGAAATTTTGTTTCGTATCTTTGGCATTTGGCCGAACACGTCGTTCGTTTTGTTACGTAGACTGTTCTGGACTGTTTCAATCGTATTCGAACAAGTTGCTCAATACCGATATATCATAAAGAATTTCCATCTAATGGAGTTTATAGAAATAGTAACCATTTTAAGTTCTGTAATGTCGTATACGATATTTTTAATTAAACTCATCATTTTTTGGTATAAACAGCGGTGAGATGCGCATTGGTGAGACACATAATATACGCACTATCAGTGAAAAATTTTGTTTTAAATATTTGATGACACTAATTATCCAAATTAATGTAATTAAATAAATTTTATATTACATCTCAATTCAACAATTACCACTTTGATCGGTTAAGTTAATTATTCGGCAATTATGAACATGAACAAGGCTGAAGACAAATTGCTGTAATAAATAAATTCTTATGCAAAAATAAAATGTGTAAACACTCATTTGTAAAGTCATTGCATAACGATAAATTTTTCATCGATGGTTTGCATAATATTCCATTGCGGCTGTTATCATGATTATGACTAAATATAAAACTATGTAGAACATTCAACAGCTTATTAACAATGATGGCAATCGACTGGGAAAAATGTTCTAGAAAGAAATTCAGCATGTTCGTGACATCGTATAATGCTAAACTGTCGGAGCGCTTTGCTAACATGACGGTGATTCTTTATTCGACAGCTGTAATTCTCTATAGCACTCACATCCTTAGGAAACACGTGGATGATGGCAATGCTTCCAATATTTCTACACGATTACTCGTTTTAGAGATGGATTTGCCATTTGACACTAATAAAAGATTCGTGTATGAATCGGTTATAATTGTTCAATTTTTTTATTTGCTGTTGTGTTCCGACGCAATCGGTTTATTAAATGCCTCACTCATAAATCTAGTAAGTTCTGTTGCGTAAGTATTATAGATATCGTTTTTATAGGTTATTTCCATTATTAATAAATATTTTTTTTTTTTATACTTTATTGAGTGGGTAAAACAGAGTAAATGCCTTAAAAAAGGTCTTTCTTTATAAATTTTTTTTAAGGTAATTATATGTCTTAGAAAGAATATGAATTGGTATATCAAATGGGTACACATTGAAGACATTCTAAGAATTTTTGTATGCTAAATATAAATATATGACAACGTTGTACAACATTAGACCTCCATGTTCAAAAAACATGGTCCATCGGCGATAAAGAACTTAAGTTGTAATAATTTGAAATGAAAATTTCTTAAAAATTTCGAATTTGTGAGTGTAATTTCAGTTGAGCGTAATGATTTTTTAAAATAATTCTTTTTTTCAAAATGGCAGCGGTTTAAAAAAAATTTTAATTTTATTATATTTGGGGGCCTCTTAAACATCTTGCCCTTCAAAAACTAAAAATTAATAAAAAAAATCCCTACTCTTAACTGAAACTATTCATTTTATGAAGCTACTGTTCAATGCTGAGGCTCATCTGTCGAAAATTGTTCGAGTTATACATGCCGTCAGTTGAAAAAAAGTAGTTTTGAAAAAAAATGCATTTAAAGTTTTGGTATTGATTATTTAATAGAAATCTATATATCTATCTATTTATTTTTCTCTATCTATCTATTTATCTATTTATCTATCTATCTATTACTTGCGCACAACTTCTTTCTTATCAGATGCGTACCTTATAGCACTGTATGTGTGTGTGTGTGTGTGTGTTCCCGTTTGCTACACTCATATATCTCGAGAAATACTTCGAATTTCATAGAAACTTTTTAAAAGCAATGGCAATTTTTTTAAAAGAGTATTTTTTAGACATTAATTTTTTGAAAAAAATAAACGTTTTTTTAAATTTTTGAAAATTTTGTGTTTTAATCTATCAATTAATTTAAACTTATTAGAATATTTAATTATTGTCTATATTATAAAAAATAATTTATAGGCTACTCTGACTTATGCTGCTTTTTGAATTTTAAAAGATTTTGTACTCTCTGCATCAATTAAATTTAGAAATTATATAATACTTTTTTTGCAACTTGCATTTGCATGTTAATTCTAAAAAATATACATTTTAGATATTGCATATAGGAGGTCAAATCGATATTCTTCGTCAAAACTTGATGGCAATTTTTTCGAAAAAAGAGAAGGACAATTTGAGTCATTTTATGATAAAGAAAATAATCAAGAAACATCAGAATATTATCACCTTTTCACAGCACATCGAAGATTTGTATTCGTACATTGCGATGGTACTCTTCGTATCGGATACTCTAATTATTTGCTGTTTGGGTTTTACAATTGTCGCAGTAAGTATTAGAATTTTATTTAATTCCATAATAAAAAGAAATATACGCTATAGGAATCGCTGTTGAATTTGTAAAATAAAAGAGCATTATTTTGTGCTTTTAATTATTCAGTATTTTGTTACCTTTTCGTTACTTTTAGAATATTCCTTAATATTTCAGTCAATCGGTGGATCCGATGTTTTGAAAAATATAACTAGGACCCTCTTATTTTATCTCGTTATGAATATGGAGGCGTTTATATTTTGTTTTGGTGGAGAATATTTGAGCGCTAAGGTTAGACACTAGGATAGATATATTAATTACTATGTCTTAAGTATAATATTATAGAATTATTTTTATAAAAACACAAACACACACACACACACACATACACAGAATACACATGTACACAATTATGTATATTACACAGAGTATTGCATTATAATTGTTCCAGACAAGTATTTTGAAAAATACGTAAAAAATACGAAAAAATTATTTTAGATGAAAAAATTGTTTTGAAAGAACGTATTTTGGTCACATTGTTTTTTTTAGATATAGAGTGTCTCACGTAACTGTGATCACGATTTTTCCGGCACTTTCGATGATTTGACAAAAATTAGTTCGGATAAAAGTTAATCAGTTTTCAATTGACTACAAATTGCAATATTAAAAATTTGCAAAATACTCTTTTTTAGAATTTCAGTTTTGCCTGAAACACTTTTTTGCGTATTTTTCTAAAAATATGTAAATCTTACATATTTTTCCAAATATTTGTCAATTAATTTGGCAAACCTTGTATATATAAATGTTACAAAATTAATTATTTAACAGAGTAAAAGCATCGGAGATGCTGCCTACGCTTCCCATTGGTACGAATCAGGTCCTAGAAATAGTCGAATTATATTGTTTTTGATAATGAGATCGCAAATACAATTAACGATTACAATTGGAAAGATAATGAATTTGTCCTTGGAACGATTTACTAGTGTAAGTTTATTTCAAATTTGTTTTATACGTATAGTCTAGTACAAATTTTATGCAAATGATTATTTTACCCATAATTATCTATATTAAGTAAAAAGTGTGTTTGCTCTTCTTAAAATATAAGTAAAATATTGATATCCATTAATTTTTGTTACATAAATACATACACACATACATACAGAGTATAATTAAAAAGAGACAAACTTTGTGAGCAAGTTTTCACTACCAAAACTAAAAAAAATTAAGAAGTTCGTTATGGATATTTCTAATTTAATTTCTAATTTAATCGTAATTGACTATCTTATATTATAGTTAAAGTATAAAAGCGCAAAGTATAAAAAATTCACGTATGTGGCAGCTGAGTACAGATTAATATATTCAGTACAGTTGTAGTCTCTTACGCAAGTATAAACATATCTGTACGTTACTAAGATATTTGCATATTTCGACTTACTTTTATGCTTGACTAATTGCTCTATCCTATATTATTTTTAATATGTATATTGATTAATAAGAAATAATATTTATTCCAATATTCTCATTACTACATACTAAAATGAGTCCAATGCTAAACAAAAAAAATCATTTTTTACATAAATACTGAATTTAAATATTTAATTTTTACGTACATTGATATGTTATAATATTTAAATAATATTTTTACAGATTATAAAAGCTTCAATTTCTTATATATCCGTCCTACTTGCAATTTAATGAAGTGGTTTTACATTTTATTTATATTACATTTTTAATGAATGTTAACAGTGTTGTCAGCGTATTACTATTCATTTATTAAAAAATTTGCACACACACATATTATATAAATAGTGACAATAATCGTCGCAGAATTACTTACCATTTTCTTCCACCTCTTACACACTTGCATGTGTGTATGTATTGGTCGAGAGTAAGAATAAATTTGAGACGATAAATCGATAATCCTAGACACGCAATGTTTATTAAATGAGATCAAACAATACAATCCCGTGCTGCTTTCCTCTCTCGCACCTGACATTGTTCGCACTTTGTGATTTGCGACAATTTTCCTTTTATTTTTTAATGATATTCCATTCGAACATTGTGTATACTTGATGCGCATGGCATTTTGTCTCACAATTTATTGCTGTTGTGTTATCCTGTCATGAAATAGATAAAGAAGGAAAGAAAAGAGACAAAGGAAGAAAAAATTTTTTAATTTTTCGTTTCTTGTTGATGATTTCGTAATTGTAATCTTAATCGTAATCGTAATCGTAATGATTCGTAATCATAAATCTATAATTATAGTTGAATATCTTATATACATATATATATATATATATATATATATATATATGTATATATATTTGGTATATTTGGTAAATATTCGCTAATGATTACATCAGTTATAAGTACTAAAGTTATTGATTCACTTTTAGAATATTCTAGTTTTATTGATAATCAAAATTCTGATTAATATAATCAAAATTTTCTGGTTAGTCTATTTCTGAAACCAGAAATTTTTTTCAGTGACAGAAAACTTGAAAAGTTTCGTTCAGCTCACATGACAACGAACATATAGCTGATCAATCATATCGCGTTTTGAATGTAATTATGTCTTCACACTGCCACCGAGTCGTAGTGATATATATGTAGTTTTGATCTAATTTTGCCTAATACGAGGAATAACTTTAATATATCAACTGCTTCGTTTGGGTACTTATCTTGAGGATAGAATTATTCTTCAACAGCAATAATTCATCCTACACAAGCTCATGATGATAACGCAATTTTTTCACTATCTAATAAAAGGATGCTCGATTGACTAAACGCTTTAATCATGACATTGATAAGATTTATTGCTAAAGGTTAAAATAATTTTACATGGAGTAATCATCGTCAATATATTTTCGATCATAAATCTTATTAATTCAGATACAGATAAAACTTTACATTAATTTTGTAAGCTAAAATTTAAGTTGTTTAAATTAATTTTGCAACAATATTACATAATTTATTGCTATAATAAAATAATGTAAAAGAAAAAGACATGTAAATTTTTTTGGCTCATAATAAATTAAAATTTTATCTTTTTTACAGATTTTACTTTTTATATTCTATAATAAATATTCATTATCTATGAATATTCTAGTATTATATGTATATATATA